TCAACTTAGTAGAGCGAGATGGTGGATCAATTATAGTTGTTGGGGCCTTGATCTGACTCCATATAGCCATAGGGATTTTTGTTCGATCATCATCAACCATTGGAGTGGTAGGGGTGCATTGCAACATTTATCTTATAAATATACTTTTGCAAATATTAAGAAATTGGTCTCAATTCCAAAACGGAATTGGGGGAAGACGTAGCCATAGTGAGGATGATTGGCAAACTTCCTTAACAAATTCCTGTGTCATTCTCTCTCTCTCTCTCTCTCTCTCTCTCTCTCTCTCTCTCTCTCTCTCTCTCTCTCTCTCCTCTCTCTCTCTCTCTATCTATCTATCTCTCTTTCTCTCTCACTTTATCTCTTTTATATTTTGTTAGCAATTTATTATACTCTTGATTGTGCAAATTGATTAGGTTAGAAACATCCTTTGAAAGTTTAAATCATTTTGTTGTTGTTCTTACAATTCTTTTGATTGTAAGAGGTTTTAGCATCAACAAAATTCAAAGTTCTAGAAAATCAAAGTGTATACTAATTGTTCAATAAATTGTCTAAATAAGTTTTACCTTAAATTTCATTGGAAATAGGTTACTTGATTGATTGCATTCAAATCATTGATTGAGAATTTTCTGTTTTTCTCACTTATCATCTTTACTTATATTGAATGGATTGAACGTATATTCAAGCTCCAATAATCAAGTGCGTTTAGATGATTTTGATCAAGGACACAACTTCTGCTAACCACTGTTTTTAACTTGATTTAAAAACTGTTATAAAACTCAATTTTGAATTGGGTATCTATTCACCCCCCCTCTAGATAAGTTGTCTTCGTCTAAAAAATAATTCCACCCTCAGTCCTTATCTCTTTTCCTATCATGTTGTGTTTTTTTATACAATGCACTTCTCTCTCTCCCTACCAAGAAAAATATCATTTTACACCAAGTTCTCTTCAAATGAACCTCTATTTATTGGGTTCTAATATTCCATTATCTTTGAGTTGTGCTTAGAGATCGCTTAACGCATATACTTTCTTCACCCTTAAAACACTCCAACTATTCCTGCAAGTTGTATTTATCGCCTTAAGAGGCATCAAAAGGCAAGGCATATATACCCTTGAGGTTGAGGTTATAAGTGGTTCAGCAGATGTGGTGTCCACCAAACCTGTGTCGAAGACTGAGTTATGGCACAAAAGGCTTGGCCGTGTCAGTGAAAGAGGTCTGGTCGAATTGTCGAAACAAAATTTGTTATGTGGTGACAAGGTCGAAAAGCTGGAGTTTTGTGAACCTTGTGTATTTGGTAAATCCTGTAGGTTGAAGTTTAACAAAGGTTAAAAAAGAACATGTGGATCCCTTGATTATATTCATGTTAATCGTTGGGGGCCTGCATAGTGTCCTTCACATTCAAGTGCAAGGTATTTTCTATCCATTGTTGATGATTATTCACGAAAATTATGGGTATTTATTCAGAAGAATAAGGATGAAACTTTTGATAGCTTCAAAAGTTGGAAGACTCTGGTCAAAAACCAAACTGGCAAGAAAGTCAAGAGGTTGAGAATAGAAAATGGTCTTGAATTTTGCAATGGGGCGTTCAACATCTATTATGTTGTATCTGGTATTGCAAGGCATAAAACTACTGCAAGTACTCCCTAACAAAATAGTTTAGCTGAAAGGTGTAATCGATCCATTTTGGAAAGAGTTAGATACGTGTTGGTTAGTGTTGGATTGAATAAGGTGTTTTGGGCTAAGGCTATTTTGACAACAACATATCTGATTAATAGATGTCCCTTGACTTCCTTGGGGATGAAGAAACTTGAAGAAGTTTGGTCATTAAATCCACCTAATCTCAACATATTTAGAGTATTTGGTTATGTAGCCTATGATCATATTAGGCACGACAAGGTCGAACCTAGAAATCTGAGATGCACGTTAATGGGGTACCCCAAAGGAGTCAAAGCTTATAAGTGGTGGTGCCTAAATCCAGGTTAAAGAAGGTGTATCACAAGTCAAGATGTAGTTTTCAATGAAGCAGAAATGGAGTTCAAGAAAACTGATGATGTTGGTCAAAATGCAGAAATCTATGAAGAGGAGCTAGAACATAAAGAGATTCCTATTGGAGTGGAGCATAGTGATGTTGAATTACATAACCCAAATGAAGTCGAAGAAGAAGCAGAAGTTGTGGATGAAATTGAGGAAACTGAAAATGAATACCTACTGGCAAGAGACAGGTCAAAAAGAGTCATTAAACCACCTCAGAGACTTGGTTATATAGATCTCATAGTGTTTTCCTTAATCTCTGGAAGTGAGGTTCTTGATGAAGAACCTAGAGACTACAAGGAAGTTGTGAGGATTCAAAATAAGACTGAATAGATGAAGTCCATGAATGATGAGACGAAATCTCTCCATGATAATAAAACTTGGGGTGATCAAGAAACCTGCAGCAGTCAGGTTAGTCAGTTGTAAGTGGATTTTCAAGGTTAAGGAAGGAATTGAAGGAGTGATGTCAAAGAGATACAAGACAAGATTAGTTGTTAGGGGGTTCACTCACAAAAAGGAGTTGACTTCAATGATGAATTCTCACCTGTTGTTAAGTAATATCCATTAGAATATTGTTAGCCATGATGGTGAAGTTCAATCTAGAGCTAGAACAGATGGATGTAAAGACTGATTTTTTGTATGGTGATCTAGATGAAACAATCATGATGAGGCAACCTGAAGGGTATGCAAAAAAGGGAAAGGAAGATCATGTGTGCAAGCTGAATAGATTGTTATATGGACTGAAATAATCTCCTCGATAATGGAGTAGGAGATTCGATAAGTTCATGGCACACAAAGGTTTCACTAGGAGCCAATTCGACCACTATGATTACTTCAGATTTTGACCTGGAAATTCAGTAGTTATTTTGTTGCTTTATGTGGATGATATTATCATAGCAATCAACAATATTGAGGATGTAATGAAGGTGAAGGTTGAACTCAATATGGAGTTCGACATGAAAGATCTAGGATCTGCCTCTAGAATTCTTGGGATTGACAGAGAGATAGAAAGCAATCAAGATTATGCTTATCTCAAGAGACATACCTGAAGAAGATTCTCGATAAATTGATATGTAGAATCCAAAGCATATTATGACACCAACAAATCCCCAGTTTAAGCTAAGTACGACTCCAACTCCTAGTACTGAAGTCGAAAGAGCCTATATGAATAGAATTCAATATGGTAGTATAATAGGTTCTTTGATGTATATTATGGTCTATATGAGACCAGTCATAGTGTATGAAATGAACTTTGTAAGCAGTTATATGGCGCACTGACAAGCATTGAAGTGGATTCTAAGTTACAAAAATGGGTTTCTGAATAGAGTTCTAATTTATGGTGGAGCCTGTGGTGATGATAGTAAAGGAGAAATTGAAGGATATGTCGACTTGATTATGCAGGTTGTATGGATTCTAAAAAATCTATTTTTGGATATGTTTTCACTATGTTTAGCACAACAATCAGTTGGAAAGCGACACTTCAGAAGGTTGTTGTCTTATCAACCATTGAAGTGGAATATAATTGAAGCTGTGAAAGAAGCATAGTGCCTTGAAGGTTTTTCTAAGGAGATGAAACTTCAAAGTCAAGTTATCCCTGTTAAATGTGATAGTCAAAGTTCCATACATCTATCGAAGAACTCAGCCTATCATGAGTGAATCAAACACATCGATGTGAGGCTGCATTTCTCCAGAGAAATAATCGAGCATGGAGAAGTCCAAGTGTTGAAGGTTTCACAAATCACAATGTTGCTGATATGATCACCAAGACATTATCAAGTTGCAATTTTTCCATTGTACGCAGTTGATAAAGCTGCATGATGAAAGCTAGTTTGTTTTCCTTATGTTGTAGAGTTTGTTCCAAGGTGGAGAAATTTTGGATCGAACACTAGTATCTCGTCAGGGATAACTTCTTGGTTTGACGGGGTTTATGAGCAAGTTGTCGAAGTCTTTTCACATGTTGATGTTGAAGTCGCGTATGTTGTAGTCGAATTGTGTTCTAGCATGCAGTAGTCGATAATGTTAGGTTTGTTAGCATGTCGAATTTGGCCTGTTTGTTTAGCCTAATTGTTTAAATTATCCTGTAGCATAAGTTAGCTAAGTAATCTGTAAACCTTAATAATTAAGAGAAAGTGACTAGAAAAACAATTACAACCAATTCTAATTTCTTCTTCTTTTTCTCCACTCTTCTCTCTCTTTCGTGAAACCCTAAAAAGATTTCTTATGTTTGTTGAATAAACTTAATATTTCTCATAATTTTAATTTGTTTTTGACGACACTCTTTACGATATTGATAATTTAAAGTTAGAATCAACTTTAAAGATAAAATTAATTTTACTCAAAAATAATAAAACATGTCAACATCAATTTAACACATCAATTACGACTATTTCAAACGCGAAACAAAACAAAAATAAATTATATGTTCACATTATAATTTATTTTAGAGGTAAAATCAACTTTACTGTAAAAGAACTAAAGAGGTCAAAATCAATTTTACACTTTTATGATAAATTTTAAATACTAAGTAGTTTCTTGTCTTAATTATAAAATGTTTTTTCTGTCACTTAATACAAGATGATTTGCAAAATTTAAAGTAAAGTAAAAAAGAATTATTAAAAAAATCATTTAAAATACGGACCAGAATCCTGTTTGGGGTAATCATTGCAGTCAGTTGTATATAGGCCATCAGATTTGCTAAATAATAAATCATGATCTTTAATTTATTTTGTTTATAAAATAAATAAAAATGTTTAGAAGAGAGATAGAGATAAGTGATTGCACACAATTAAAATCCTTAAAATACCACCCAAAAAATTATATATTAATAAATAAAAATAAATATGTACAAGTAATTTTTGTATATTGAAACTCAGCAAAAGAATGAGAAGTTCTCGTACTTTTTTATAGTATCAAATAAGTCACATGATGATATACTGTTTTCAACTTCATTTTTTTCCAGCAAATAGAATCATGGATGGTTCACGGGTGACACAGAGTCTAGACTCGCTTTGGTTTTATACTAACGTCTTTACTGCAGCAACACATGAACCTGCTGTACCTTGTTTGACTAGTCCATTTTCATCTTCAATCCAGGAATCAAATGCCACGTTGTGTGCAGCGTGTTCACCGTCAGAAGTTGAAGAAGAAGTGATGAGAAAATCTGCAAAGAAAGAAAGGAGAAAGAGGAGGAAGAAGATGGTTGCAATTGTTAAGCAGCAAAATGAAATGCCTCCGTTAGAGGAGGATGTGGCAATGAAACAACTTCTCAAGTTATGGGCTTATGCTGTTGCATCTCATGTGGAAAGAGCATCTTCCAGACACACGTTGAGCTACCATCATAGGTAGTTTTGGTTGCTTAAAATGTTTGATTCATGGTTGTTTTTTTTTTCTTCACTTTTTGTATTTAATGCTCACGGTCACTTATATGTAATACTAGAGCCAAAAGAAAAATGAACGGATGGTAGTTGATTCATGTTGAGATTACTTGTTGTTACTAATTTTATTGTTGATATTTTTCAAGGAAACATCTTGTTTCATTATAGTCACTATCAGTCTCCAGTAGCAATGAAATCTGAAATGGAGCAAACTTACAGTACCAGAGTAACAACAGAGAAATGGACCATTGGCATAATATAGTTTTGATTCTGGGAACCCTCTTTTGGTCTTCTTGGTTTATCTTACTTTCAAATTTAGGCCAGACGTAGTACCCATGCCATTTTTCTAGCTTAGCCATAGTGACCTTCTTTGGATCCATACTGTTCCGGGCCAGTCATAGGCCTAAAGGCCCAATCCAAGATACATTCATGGGGTTGCTGAAGATCAGATGCACCCTTGATTAAGAAACGGACACTCAATCTTTGTCATCTGATGATGGTCCACCATTAGATTTAGTCAACGATTCTCCGCGTCTCACGTCGGGGAACACGTGGCAGTTCGAAAACCCTCCATATATAAAGACTTAAACGCGCTAATTACATATATGTTCTCACCATAACTCACATTAACACTAATTGCAGGTTCGTCCCTCTATCGTACCGGAAAGCACCCGTCCCCGCTCTAGTCAACTTCACATTTCATATATTATTATGGTTTTTGTACGATACGGTAGCGTCGTCTATGGTAATCGACTTTTGATTCTCATAAGTTTCCACGACCAATTCCTTTTGATTCCAAAACCATGAATCAACTACCATTAACTTTCTTGGGAGAAGATGATGGTTTTCGATCCACCTGTTGGAATCACCATGGTTTCGTCTACCTCATAATCATCTTCTTACCCCCAACGTCTCTTCGATTGATGAAGGACCATCTAGAAAGGGGAAATAAAAAAACATTTGACACCTGGCTCTTCGAGATCTCCAGCAGCGACAAAGATATAGGAAGAAGACAAACATATTCTAGGGTTTTGAGACAACGAGAAGATGAACGAGACTCCCAACATGACCCTTTTATTGGTAGTAACTACCATTATAAAAAATCACTTGGTGTCAGGGATCCTTATTAATGATAAGAGTTCTTGTGATGTCACACACACCAACGTCTTCATGAAGCTAGGATTACGCGATTGGGACCTCATACCATATGAAGGAAGGGACCTTCTGGCATTCAACGATTCCATCACTTGCCCTTACGAAATTGTGGAATTACCAAATTTCATCAGAGGAGAGAAGGATGAGAGGACCGCGAATGTGTTTTCTTGATAATTCTTTGTGAAAGCGTCTACAATTGCATCTTAAGGAGATATTTCCTTGCGGTAGCCCAGTCGTCATTCCGGACAATCTATGTAGAGCTCATCTGATACATTAATCAATACTTAAAAACCCTCGCATGACCACCCTCACCTCTAAATACTAAAATAGATAGAAGCAGAAGCCTTGGCGAAAATCACGACAACTAACATACAAAAGTTCTTTAAGAGAAACACTTTGGTGAGGTATGGAATTCCTTAGTCAGCCAGCTGACACTGATAACGAGACATAACTTTCATATAAGTGTAATATTCATGTTTCATTAAATGCTCAATTGTATATCAGTTGTTTTCAGTTGAGACAAACTGAATTCTTAAGTGTTATATTAGTTGTCAGTTGAGATCAATAGAATAATTAATAAACTCTGAAGAGATCAATATTTATTAAAAGAGACTAACCATTATTAATTAATACACAAAGGAGCATTTTAGTAACATTAATAATGAATCAATTAGTTTAGTAGTGAGAAAATACCATTTGAGATATTTATTTTTCCACAATTGTTACTAACCGCATAATATAATATATTATATGTGTATATGTGTGGTGGTGGTGGTGGTAAAATAAGAGAAAAAAGAGACAGTAAGAGATAAGAAGAAGAGTAAAAAACCATAAAAAGAAAAGTAAGAATAGAAAAAGGAAAGAAAGAAAGAGAGAAACGAGAGAAAGAGGGAAAAGAGGAAGGAAGAGAGAAATTGAAGAAGGAAAAGAAACAAAGAAGAAGAAGCATTGAGAACAACAACACCATCATCATCTTAATCTATTTCCCTTATCAATCTTCATCACCTTTACTTGGTAGAGGTGAGTTCCTAGTCAGTTTTAGCTTGGGGGGGGTTATGACTTGGGAAGCTAGGGTTTTGTGTTAAATTCATGAATATTATGTTGTTGGATTAGAATCTTGCCATGGTTGGTGTTGTTGTGCTAAGCTATATTACTATGTTGTGTAGATATTATGTTGTTGTTGCAAAACCCATGAAGATATGAGATGTTGATGATCTTGTTGTTCTTAGTTCTTGTTGTCATGACATGTTGATAACATGAGTTTTGTTGGTATGTGTTAGAGTATGCTTGAGTGTGGTTTGGTGATTGTTGTTGATGATTCATTATTGATGTTATGAACTTGTGTTTTATGGTATTAGCATGATTAAAATTTAGGAGAGACAAATATAGATGGAATGAGATTGAAAAGAAGAGTGAAAGAAATGGCCTGGATGAGTTTTACTGATGTAACAGAGGAATTTTTGAAGAAATTGCATTGTGTAATCGATTGCATGACAGAAGCAATCGATTGTAATTGCTGAAGAGTGTAAAAATGGCCTAAAATCAAGCAGCGCAACTGATTACACATATATTGCAATCAATTAAATGGACAAATTTCACAAACAAAAGGTTTCAGACTTCAGTGCAATCGATTTTACTCATATGTCAATCGATTACATGCCATGTTTTTCTCAAAAATCACGTGTTTAAGGATTCTAATGCATCTTAGAACTCTTCTAACTTATAACATGACTTGTATGCATTGAATCATCATTGTTTGAGTGAATTTCATGGATTAAAATGAGATATAACTGTTGTACCCCAAAATTTGCCCTCCCATTTCCTCAACATTTTCTCATCACAAGACCTTTGAAGATCAAGATCCAATTAGGGTTTCCTCTGCTCAAGACTTCTCCTTGCACTGTGGACCCAAACTAGGGTTTGTGTTTGAACAAAGATATTTTGACCCCAAATGCCTAAGATGACTTTCATGCTTCATTTTGGACTCCCAAGTTTATCCATACCAAGTTTCAAGTCCTGATTCCAAATTTTGCCCAGTCAATTAGACAGTTGACCTAGAAATCAGCTGTATTGGGGAAAAAGTCAACTGTGGCCAATTGACAGTCAAATCTCATGAAAATTAACCCACATCAACATTATGAACTCATATGGACCATTTGATCAAGTTTGGATCACAATTCCACAAGAAATTGGATCAGATCATCAAAAGGGCAAAATGGTCATTTTTAGGGTTTTGACTGCACAAAGGCAATTTTTGACTGTTTGACATAGCCAATGGCAAACCAAACTTACATATGGACTCAAGGACCCCATGGAATTATCTTTACATGCTCAACAAATTCAAAAGATCCCAAGTACACAAGATTGACAGTTGAATTTCCCAGTCAATTGATCAATTTTGACTGTATACTGAAAAGTCAAACTTTGACTTTTTGGTCAAAATCAAGAGTCAAGATTCATTTTTCATCAAAACATGCCAAATCATGAAACTTGTTCACCAAGAAACCAAGAAATGCAAATTAGGGTTTGAAATGGGAATTTTTCATAACTTAGAATTTTTCTAAGTTATGGAAAACCCTAATTTTTTCCCAACTTTGCCCCACTTTCTCACCAAGATTCATTTGGATTCAAACAAAAGTCAAAACATGAAAGTTGTAGCTTGTTGCATAATCTACAACTTTGATTCACAAAGTTTTCCCAAATGAAGCTTGTATCTCAAGTTAAAATTTTTTGAATAGGGGTGCCAAACCATTCTTAACTTAGTGAAAATTTGACCTTTTTGACAAGGTTTTCTACCTAACTTCAAGGCCATTTTCCATACACTTCCACTTGGAATTTCAATTTGTATTTCAAAGATGGATTGTATTACACATTCCAAGCTTTCCAAAATGTCCAAGAACTCATCAAACAACCTCATAACTTGAGAGAATTGAATTTCACAATATGGCAAAACCTCACTTTTGAATTGATCATGAACATGTTCATAACTCAGGCCATTTTCAAGTCAGCATAGTTTGTGCTACATTACAGGTCCTAAAACCCTTTGACACTCATAAATTTAATGCCAAACCTTTGTGCCAAGACTATGTTTTGTGTGTTCAAGCATTGCCTAGAAGATTAATCCATTTATAGATAAAGCATTATTTCCATTTTGAAAAAGTAGAACTTTATGTCCATTTTGCAAATCCAAGTGGTACAGTCAAAATCTTCTAGGCACAAGTTATGAGACACATTACACTGATCAAGGCAAAGGATTGCAGCATGTTATGGGGGCCGGCATCAGTCTAGAACATCAACTTGCCTTTTGTTACTTAAGAAAGAAGAAACATAGTATAACTTGTACCAACTCTCATATCAGCTTACAAACACTTAAACAAACTTATCAAACACATTCCAAACATTTATCCTAAGTTGAAGCACGAGCCTTTCACCTCCAATCCCTCCCAAAACTCAGAATCACCTTGAAACTGCTCAAACAGAGCAACCTCTGCAGATTGAGTTCCAACTCTCAATCCTTTCAAGCATTCTTGCCCAAACCAGTTCATACACCTTCCCTACCATCTATGCAAGCTAACCAAAAGCTAAAACACGACCTGTAATCCCTCTAACTGGTTCCACCATTTTCACTTTTCTGATTTGCAGGTGGAGTGCTATAGCTCGATTCAAAAGGTTTCAAAGCAAAGTAACACTTGGAATAGTATCCCTGGACCTCAAGGAAGCTATACCAATCATCACTTTGCACTGAGAGCTTCTCCATTGCCAGATAGAACTTCAACTGAACAGGTAAGTTTTTGAATTCGTATCTCTCTTATTAGGCATTGTTAGCTTTAGGTTTGTGAAGAAAATATGTCACAATCATAGCCCTGAACATGCCCATATAATTAGATTTTATTTATATTATGTGTGTTGCAAGAATTTTGGGTCTGAACTTGGAAGAAAATCTAGGTCAGGATTTGGGGGAGAAGAAATTCTCCCTCATCTTAGAGAGTTAAGGCAAGTTCTGCATATGGTTGGATTCGTCTCTTGATGCTGAACATTTTTTATGTTATGAGTTTTCATTGAAAAGCCAGGAATCAGGAGTTAGAAGTTTGAGAAGAAGGGCGCGCGTTTTGAACTGGTTTTGTCTGAAGGTTGAAGACAATGTCTTCTTGGGCTGGGCCTGAGTTATTTTCTTATTCACACCACCTTTTTGGTTTTACACCCCCTGAACCCATTTCATTCATTTTTAATGTTTTTGACTTTTTCTTTTTTTGATTGGCTCATTTATTTTTTCTCATAACATTAAAAATATAAAAATATTTTTTCTCACCATTTTTGAATTTATTAGGCATTTATTTGATTTTTCTTTTAGTTTGTACATAAATCAATAAATACATATACTTTTTCATTTAAAATACTAAAATAGTGTAAATATATTTTTTATACATTTTTATTTTGTTTTACTTTCTGAAAATATTTCATAGAAAAAATACTTTTTTTATTAAATATTAAATATTATTAATTTATATATATAATACATATTTAATGAATAATATATATATATATATATATATATATATATATATATATATATATATATATATATATATATATATATATATATATATATATATATATATATATATATATATATATATATATATTTATTAATACACTTAGGATAAAAATACTAAAAATATACATATTTTATTTTATTAATATTTAACACTAAAAAATCATTTTTTACAAATATACTTTATTTTTATTTTATTTTTTGTATATGAATAATAAATAGTAGTATATTGAATAAATAATACATTTTTATAGAATTAGGGTTTGACCCTAAATATGGAAAATTTAAAAGAATAATAATACTTTCTTTTTGACATATAAAAATACCTTTTTTTCATACATACAAAAAAACTATTTTTTGGCATCTTGCACATTTGTTCTATTTTATTTAATTTATGCAAAATTGATCACCTTGTAAATGATTCAATATTGATGTAATAGTTTTAGGTTTAAATTCCTTGTCAAAATCCCCATTCGAACATTTGTACCCCCCTTCCCATATATGGTTTTGTAATAGCTTAGTAAATTTATTTTCGCACTTTATTGCTTTCTAATTATACCATGTTAGAATTAGGGTTTGTATGCGAAAAAACAACGAAAGATAGTTTTGACATAAATTCAAGATAAACAAGCATGAAAATGAACACACAAATCACACTTGCACCCCCTAGGGTATTCCACTTGTTGCCTTTCAAAATTGGGCCATATTACATGTTAGGTCTCTTTGGGCAAAACAAACAAATCAAATGATCATAGTCCCTCGATAACACTTTCAAAATGTTGCCTAAACAAATGATCAAGTCCCTTAAAGAAAATGCCCAAAGATACTTGGCACCATTGCAATTATGGTCTAAACGATGACCCGCGCCCGTCCCTTTAACATCCTAACATGAGATTGTCCACCAAATACAATGGTGGAACAAACTTATTAAAAGGGTTAAAACATAGCAATAAACTTTGAGAAAATTTAGGAGTAGATAACCTCTTAGTTACTTGAATCAAACTTGCAAAACAAAACACTTGCCTATTTTCTAAACCACACATCACTACACTTTCAAAACAACTTTCAAAAACAAATGAAAACCTTTTCAAAAGACATACACCTTTGTATACATCCCCACATGGATCATTACAAAGGTTGCCACCACAATGGCTTCTTTTCAAAACATTTTTTCAAACCCACACACACACAAGCACCATTTCAAACAATTGAAAATAAAAGGCAAGTGATCTAAGCAAGTAACTAAGAGCCCATGGATAACCATGGATAGAAAGGGTGCTAATACCTTCCCTTTCTATAATCTACTCCCCGAACCCAAGAAAACATCTCAAAAGGTTTTTGCTGTGCTTTTTAAACCTTTCCTTAGGATAAAATAAAAATTCGGTGGCGACTCTTGCTCAACCGAAACATTTGCAAAAACAAACGCAAAACCTCAAAGTCAGTTCTCCCACCGTATCACAGAACTGGCGACTCTGCTGGGGAGACTTATAAAGTGGAGTAACCTTAGGGCTTAGATCACCTTTGTTTTCAATTGTTTGCTTTGTTTGCTTTTATATTTGTGGGCTTTGCATCGGAGTTTCATAGATCCTAACCCGGATCTGGGAAATACCTTTTTTAGGTAGCATAATCTGTGAGGGACCTGTCCGGCGTAGACCGACATGGGTGAAGCAGTGGCTACATTGGTGTGGCATCTTGGTCTGTACCTATATCCCTTGTGTTGCAACGGGGAGAATATAGGTCTTCTAAGGAGTCATTAAACACCAACCAACCTTAGAACCCTAAATTGACCAAACTTGGCTATTAGGACAGTAGCAGTATGCTACACTCATTGAGACTAAACTCTCGCGATGGTTCTGGCCGCAAGAAAAGATTGCGATACTGGAGTTATGACCGATTGAGGGTAGTCAATGATTTGAGATCCTCTAGAACCCGGTTACTTTTGATAGGACAGGTTTTAACCAACGAAACCAAAAGAGGGTAATACCTAAAATTCATGTTGGCCTGAAACCTAAAGGTGTCTTGTGTGACTTGTGTGCCTTATCATGTTTGCCTGTGTGAATACTTGTGGTGTGCTTCATCATAACATCATGCCATCATACCATTGCATGCATCCTGTATAAAGGACTAACCCATTTCAAAGACAAAAAGTTTCATCTTTGCTCTGTTTTGTAGGACATCATGATGCCCGTGCGTAGGAATACTATTCGGCTCAACTTTGTTCAACCACCAATTTTGCTCAAGGATTTGGTTGGTAGGATTCCAAACACTTCTTCCTTTATCAACAAGCATGGTTCTCTCCTTGGCTTGATCACTGTAAAATGGGACCAACAACTGATAAGTGTTCTGACCCAGTTTTATGACCCTCTGTATCATTGTTTCACCTTTCAAGACTTCCAGCTGGTTCCTACCCTGGAAGAATTCTCTTATTTGCTTGGGATCCCTGTCTTGGAACAAACTCCATTCACTGGTTTGGAAAAGACTCCTAGGCCTGAAGAGATTGCTGCAATTCTCCCCTTGACCAAAGAAGAGGTATTAGCTAACTGGGAAACTAGAAGTGGAGTCAAGGGCTTTTTGGTCAAATTTCTGGTTGGCAAGGCTAATGATTTCTGGAATGACTTGGACTTCAAGGCGTACGAAGAAATTCTGGCTCTTTTGATTTATGGTCTGGTACTGTTTCCCAATCCTGACACCTTTATCAATATCCATGCCATAAGGATCTTCATGTCTCGGAATCCTGTACCCACTCTTTTGGGTGATATCCTGCAACAACTCTATGCTCGTACTGCTCGAAAACGGGGAACTCCGTGGTGTTGTGCTCCTTTGCTAGTAAGGTGGTTTATTTCGCACCTTCCTAAGTTCGTGCTGAAGAATGAAGAAGGAAAAGGTTGGGCTCGGAGGCTAATGTCTCTCACTGATAATGACATCACCTGGACTCTCAGAGGTTTGGATGAGGTAGCTGTTATTGACCGTTGCGGAGAATACCCTAATGTCCCTTTGATTGGAATCCAAGGAGGAATCTCTTACAATCCCTGCTTAGCTCTCCGTCAGTTTGGAAGAGCCAGAGGAGTTGGGCCTCATGAAATGCTGGTTCCTCACTTCCATTTTGAGTTTCAGGCAGACAGTGACAAACTACGCCATGGATTCATTAGAGCTTGGGACAGAATTCACAAAGCTGACCCACATGAGTTGGGACCAAAGACTTCTCTACCAATGGAACCCTATTGCAAGTGGGTCCGCATCCGTGCTCAGAGGTTAGGTATGTCGTACGAAGCTGTCAGACCTATCATTCTTGAATCTCCTGATGAAGATAGGGTTCCTCCAACTGTCCTCCCTCCTCAGATACCTACTGATTTTGACACAATGAAGAGATCTTGGGCGCAGCTAAAGGAAGAACGGGATTTCTATCGGGAGAAGTTCAACGAGCAGGAACGGAAGATCCAGAGGCTGACTAAGCAATTGGAGGAAGATAGGGTCCTGAACAACTACATCAACACTGAGAAAAGGAGGCCATGGGAGCATTGATGGGCTTTGGATATTTCCTTTTATAGCTTTTATTTCCTTTCCAGTATTTTTCATTCCTGTAATGCCTAAGGGCAAATTGTTGAACAATTGAAAATTTTAATCTAATGAAGTGTGTTTCCCTTTTTGTCTACAAAGCTGAATCTTGTTTGTCTTTGAAAACATAAAACATACGCATTCCATTGCACCATATGCATAGCAGGTACCCTATTTCACAGGTTGCTTAATCTCCTTCGCTGTTTATTTTGAACAGTCATCATGAATCCAGACTCATCCAGTGAGCAAGCCATCAAGGCCCTTCAGGCCCAAAGTGCCCAGTTTCAAGAAATGGTCCTGAGCCTGGCCCAAGGTCAGCAAGAGTTGAAGACTCTACTCCTGAAGAAGAAGAAGAAAAAGAGGACTGCGTTGTTCAACACCGGACGCAGATTTGGGAACACACTCCATAATGAAGCTGATCCAACTACTTCTTCTGCTGAGAAAAACAGTCCCCAAGGGGGAGGAGCTCCTAGTCCCGCAGTCTCCGACAACGAGACGGACTACAATGACGAACAATACCCACCTGCTGCTGACAGATACAAGCAATTGGAGGACCGCTTGAGCGCCATGGAAATTCAGAATGTGCCGGGGCTGGATTTCGGAGATCTGGGGTTATCTTCTGGGGTAGTAATTCCACA